TCCTAAAGCCAGAACCTCAGAGGGACGAATAACAACAAAAGAAGGCCAAAGAAAGTTATTAAAAGAATAAATAAATAAAATCAAAGGAAAGACAAACACAATGGCAAATACAGATGCTAACATATCAAACACTAACTCTAAATGTAAATGGACTAAACTCTTCAATAAAAAGACACAGAGTTGCAGGCAGGATTAAGAAACAAAACCCAACCTTTTGCTGTCTCCGGAAAACACATTTAGCTGCAAAAGATAAAAATAGACTCAAAGTTAAAGGATGGAAAACAATTCTACAAGCAAATGGACCAAAAAAGAAGGCAGGAACAGCTATACTCATATCAGATAAAACAGATTTCAAACTTAAAAAGATAAAAAGAGACCCCAGTGGTCATTACATTATGATCAAGGGGACAATACTTCAGGAAGAAATAACAATCATTAACATATATTCACCAAACGAAGGAGCACCAAAATATATCAGACAACTATTGGCATCTCTGAAAACAGACATCAGAGAAAACACATACGTAGTGGGAGACTTCAACACACCACTATCAACAATGGATAGATCAACAAGACAAAATATAAGTAAGGACACTAAAGCTCTAAATAAGGATCTAGAGTGCTTGGGCTTAACAGACATATATAGAACACTAAACCCCAAAAAATCTGAGTATACATTTTTCTCAAGCGCACACGGATCATTCTCTAGGATCGATCATATACTGGGGCACAAGACAAACATCAACAGATACATCAAGATTGAAATCATACCAACCATCTTTTCTGACCATGAAGGCATCAAACTAGAAATAAACCATAAAAAGAAGGCAAGGTACTCTCTTACCTCGTGGAGATTGAAACCTACACTACTGGAAGTCCACTGGACTAACGAGGAGATAAAAGAAGAAATTAAAAAATTCTTTGAATTGAATGACAAGGAGGACACCAATTTCCTAAATGTATGGGATGCAGCAAAAGCAGTAATAAGAGGAAAATATATAGCAATAGATGCTCACATCAAGAAACAAGAAAGAACTCAAAGAAACAACCTAATCTCGAAGCTCAAAGATCTAGAAAAAGAACAACAAAAAAACCCCGAAACCAGTAGAAGAAAAGAAATAATAAAAACCAAAGCAGAAATAAATGAAATTGAAACTAAAAAAAACAATCCAAAAGATCAATGAAACCAAGAGCTGGTTCTTCAAAAAAATAAATAAAATAGATAAACCCCTAGCCAGGCTCACAAGGGCAAAAAGGGAGAAAGCACAAATAAATAGGATAATAAATGAAAGAGGAGAAATCACAACGGACACAGCAGAAATCAAAAGAATAATTAATAACTACTATGAACAGTTATATGGAAACAAGTTCAACAATCTAGAGGAGATGGACAAATTCCTACAACTCTACAATCACCCAAAGCTAGATAAAGAAGAAATAGAACACCTAAACAGACCAATTACAATTAGCGAAATTGAAATGGTAATCAAAAACCTCCCCAAAAACAAAAGCCCAGGACCTGATGGATTTACAAATGAATTCTACCAAACATTCAGAGACGAATTGGTGCCTATCCTTCACAAACTCTTCCAAAAAATTGAGAAGGAAGGTATAATACCTAACACGTTCTATGAAGCCAACATTACACTAATACCAAAACCGAACAAGGACAACACAAAAAAAGAAAACTATAGGCCAATCTCCCTAATGAACACTGATGCAAAAATCCTCAATAAAATTTTAGCTATCAGAATCCAACAGTGTATCCATAAGGTAATTCACCACAACCAAGTAGGATTCATTCCAGGGACACAAGGATGGTTCAACATCCGAAAATCAATCAACGTTATCCAACACATCAACAAAAGGAAATATAAAAACCATATGATAATATCAATAGATGCCGAGAAAGCTTTCGACAAAGTGCAACACCCATTCATGATAAAAGCCCTTGAAATTCTTGGGATACAAGGAACATACCTCAACATCATAAAGGCCATATACGACAAGCCAACAGCCAGTATCATTCTCAATGGTGAAAAGCTGAAAGCATTTCCATTAAGATCTGGAACAAGACAAGGATGTCCACTCTCACCACTGCTTTTCAATATAATACTGGAAGTCCTAGCCAGAGCAATAAGACAAGAGAAAGACATACAAGGAATCCAAATAGGAAAAGAAGAAGTCAAACTATCACTATTATCGAAACAAAAAAAAAATCAAATACTTGGGAATAAATCTAACAAAAGAGGTAAAGGACCTTTACAAAGAAAACTATAAAACACTGTTAAAAGAAATAGAAGAAGATACAAAGAAATGGAAAGACATCCCCTACTCATGGATTGGAAGAATAAACATTATTAAAATGGCCATCCTACCAAAAGCAATATACCGATTCAATGCTATTCCAATAAAAATTTCAATGTTATTCTTCAAAGAAATAGAACAATTATTGATGAAATTCATATGGAATCACCAAAAACCCCGAATAGCCAAAGCTCTCCTGAAAAAAAAGAAGGGAATGGAGGCATCACACTCCCAGATTTCAGGCTATACTACAAAGCCATAATCATCAAAACTGCATGGTATTGGAACAAGAACAGACACACGGACCAAAGGAATCGAATAGAAAATCCAGAAATAAACCCACAGATTTATGGTCAACTAATATTTGAGAAAGGAGCAAAGAATATGCATTGGAGCAAAGAAAGTCTGTTCAATAAATGGTGCTGGGAAAACTGGGCCGCTACATGCAAAAGAATGAAGCTTGACTACTACCTCACACCATACACAAAAACCAACTCAAAATGGATTAAAGAACTAGACATAAAACCTGAAACCATAAAATACATAGAAGGAAATATAAGCGAAACACTACGTGATTTGCACATCAAAGACATCTTTACAGACACATCACCCAAAGCAGTGATAGTGAAGGCAAAGATAAACAGCTGGGACTACATCAAATTAAAGAGCTTCTGCACAGCAAAAGAGACAATAACAAAAACAAAGAGAAACCCCACCAACTGGGAGAACATTTTTGCACCCAACACTAATGATAAAGGACTGATCACAAAAATCTGCAAAGAGCTGATGAGACTCAACAACAACAAAGAAAATAATCCAGTCAAAAAATGGGCAGAAGAGCTAAAAAGAAACTTCTCTGAAGAAGAAATGCAAATGGCCAACAGGCATATGAAAAAATGTTCAACATCACTTGTAATCAGGGAAATGCAAATCAAAACTACCATGAGATACCATCTTACACCAGTGAGAATGGCACTATTAAAAAAACTAGCAACAGCAAATGTTGGCGAGGGTGTAGAGAAAAAGGAACTCTTCTGCATTGTTGGTGGGAGTGCAAACTGGTCCAACCACTGTGGAGAGCTGTGTGGAGATTTCTGGACCTACTAAACATAGAGCTTCCATATGATCCAGCAATTCCACTCCTTGGTATTTACCCAAAGGACACAGAAACATCAATTCCAAAGACCACCTGCACCCCTATGTTTATAGCAGCACTATTTACAATAGCTAAGCTTTGGAAACAGCCCAAATGCCCAAAAACAGATGACTGGATCAAGAAGATGTGGTACATATATACCATGGAATATTACTCAGCATTCAAAAAAGATAAGCACATGCAATTTGCAGCAGCATGGATGGCGCTGGAAGGGATCATGCTCAGCGAAATAAGCCAGAAAGAAAAAGAAAAATACCGGATGGTCTCACTCATAGCAGGAATCTAGAAAACTTAAATAAGGGACCAGGAAAATGAATAACTATAAGAAAGTGAAAATCAAAATCAACAAAAACTATGAACCAGAGACACTTTTGGGGGGGTGGGTGGCGGGAGGGGAGGGATTGGTGTCAAAATGGGGGGGTTGCAATTGTATGGGGAATATAAAAATAAAATTTATTATTTATAAAAATAAAATAAAAAAAAAAATAAAGTCCTAAAAATGAAAAAAAATAAAAAAATAAAATTCTGGAAGTCAGAAAAAAAAAAAAAATTGGAATGATTTGTTAGCAGGAACAAGGAGGAGTCCATGGGTGAGAATGGCAGAAATGGGGTGGGGGGAGAGCAGGAAAGATGGGCAGATTTTGTATCAGGCTAAGATGATGGGATTTTATCTAAGTGAAGATAAGGGCATTAAACATTTTAAGGAGAGAGATACTAAGATCAGATTTAGTTATAGAAAGATTGCTATTAAGATAAGCCTTGAAAACTTTAAGGGGAATGAGATCACATTTCTCTTTTAGAAAGAATCACTCTTCATAGGAGTTAAAGGAGTTATAAGAGTTTTATATAGGAAAATGCATGAAGGATGAAGGTTTTAAGTAGGGTTAAGTAGGTTAAATAAGATTTTAAGTAGGAAAGTGGCAAAATGGGATATGCGTTTCTAGAAGGAGCTTAAAAATACATATATATATATATATATATATATATATATTATATATATATATAGTACTGGGGAACCAAAGTGTTGTAGAGCAACCCCGCTACAAAACGGGGTGCCTGACTGTGGGTCCTCACCCGCACGCTTAAAAGGACTTATCAATGCTCCACTGCAGGCATACGTGAAAGGTTCATAAAAGGTTTATTTACAAGGGAAGGGGAAATGAGGAAATGTACAGCTCTGGGAGAAAAGTGGGAGACAAAGTTTTAAATGAGTCCTACCCAATCCGCCGATCAGGAATCCCAAAATGGCGCTCTCAGAGCTGGCCGCCAGCCAGGAGCGGTGAAGCCAGGAGGCGAGCGATCACGAGCCAGAGAGCCCCTAAGGCCCACATGTTTGATTTTTATATCCAACCTGGCTGCCCAACTCCACCCTCAGGTCCCAGCCACCCTCCCTTGGTGGTGATGGGATTTGTCTTTCCCAATGTCTTGATGGCTTTAGTCTGGAGTGGGGGTGGGGTCCACAAAGCCTGCATGGGATTAACTCAGGACATCATTTCCCCCTAACAAAAGGAAAATTAGAATCAAGAGAGAGTCCACCATGTCCTCCATTCGCTTCATTTGCCAGCATTGCCACCAGCCTCTGATGCTGAATCAGTCCCTGGAGATGATGGGTCTCAAAACCACCCGGAAAACTGCAACTTGGAAGCTCACCTCAGCTCAGTGGGAGTCGGGACAAGCCCAGGAGGGAGGCTCTATCTCCTGGAGAGATTCAGGTATTGAAAACATACAATATGATGCCTCTGGTAGGACCTTCTCTGGCAGTGGAAGGATCTCCAGGGACAAACCCCAAAAATACATCCTGCTTGGAAAGTTTGACTCCATGACAACTCTTAATAGCATCCAGAAGTTCACAGGGGACTTTTTTGATATCCTCTCTAGTGAAAAAGATGTGGACCATCCCCTGTGTGAGAAATGTACTGACAAACTTCTAGAGCAACTTGACTCCGAAATTACTATCACAGAATCTGAGAGTCAGAACTATAGATGCTGTTTGGAGAGCAGGGAGGAGATAGGTGAGGGTGAGATAGAGACCCTGCAGGACCAGCTGAAGGGGCTAGAGCTGAAGGAAGCAAGACTGGTCCAGGAGCTGGGGGAGGTGGAGAGGAACCGTGATAGAGCAGCAGCAGGTCTCAAGGCAGCCCGGGCTGAGACAGAGATGCTGGAACAGCAGGAAATACTGTACCAGAGGGAGCACAGCTTTTTGCAATGGCAACAGCTGCAACTGCTGGACGAGCTGAATAGTGTGGAGAATCAGCTATGTCGTGCCCAAAACCAGCAGGCCCGGCTGAAGAAAACCAACATTTTCAGGGCCACCTTTGAGATCTGGCAGGATGGCCCCTTGGGCGTCATCAATAACTTCAGATTGGGCTCCCTGCCCACTGTCCCTGTGTGCTGGAGTGAAATTAATGCAGCCTGGGGACAGACAGCCTTGCTGCTCCTTGCCCTGTCCAACACAATTGGGCTGAAGTTTCAGAGGTATCAACTTATGCCCTGCGGGGACCATTCCTATCTGAAGTCTCTGACAGAGGACTCCGTTGAACTGCCATTGTTTTGTGGTGGGGGCAAGACTAATTCTATGGATGACAAATTTGACCAGGCCATGACGGCTTTTTTGGACTGCATGCAGCAGTTTAAGGAAGAGGCAGGGAAAGGCGAGTTGGGTCTCTGCTTCCCCTATAGGATTCATGTAGAGAAAGGCCTGTTGGAAGATCCTGGAGGCAGCGGTAAATTCTATTCTATCAGAACCCACCGCAACACTGAGGAACAGTGGACAAAGGCACTCAAGCTCATGCTTACCAATTTTAAGTGGAGTCTTGATTGGGTTTCCTTAAGGTATCAAAAATAACTTTTTGTAATTGAAGGATGTGTTAAAAATAACTTTTGTGAGGGAGAGAGGAATTTTTTTTTGTCTTAAAATATTTCATTTGTAAAAATAGTATCAAATAAAGTGTAAAACTGAAGAATATAGTACATCTACAGGTAGACCTTGAAGGTGCCAAGCTAAGGGAAGTATCAGACAGAGGAAGACACATACTGTATGGTCTCACGTATATGTAGACACCTGTAAAAGGTAAACAACAGAAAAGGGCAGATTTTCATTCACCAGAGTCTGGGATGATGTGCAGGGGGTGGGGAGAGGGAATTGGGTGAAGATGGTCAAAAGGGACAGACTTGGATGTAATGTACAATATGACTGTCTTATGATATACATGAAGGTTGTTAGAGAATAAATCCTAAGAGAGTTTTGCTCACAAGGAGAAAAATACTGTTTTTCTTTTTTGTATCTATATAGATAATGGATGTTAAGTAAGCATTTCATGATAAATATAAGTCAAATACAGGGCTGTACACTGTAAAACTTACACAGTGGTATTTATCAATTATATATCAATAAAACAGGAAAATAAATTATATTGAAAAAGAGAATATATAATTTAAAAAGTGATTGTGAGACAGCATTAATTTATTATTTATCCAGGGCAAACCAAAAGTCATTGCTGTCTCCCCAGGAAGACTGGCAGCTTTCTCCTCCCTGTTCTCTCTTGTCCCACCAGGACAAATTCAAAATGATAGCAAAGGTTAAATTACAGGATGATGAGATTACTGCTACTTTGAAAAGGGATTAAGTCTAAGGGATGCCAAAGGAAAGAACTAGAGGTGAGAGGAGAGGGTGATTAAAAAAAAAAAAAAAAGTTAAATCTTCAATTTTTTAATGAGAAAATAGAAGTGTTTGCACACTGATGCATGTCTTTGAACTTTGGGGGAGGCAGTATTCATTCCTTTTTGTTGTGATTGTATCATATAACCCCCTGTTTTGTCTCTAAGAAACTTTCAATAAATTTCTAAGCATTCCTTTGATGATTTAGAGTGAGAAGTTTTGTCACATTAGGCTGTGCCATTATGTTGAGATTATCCTGGAGGTGAGGGGGTGTGGTACCCAAGGTGAACTGGGGATGTTTCCACTGATAGCTCAATCCCATGGGCCAGTAAGGATGATGAGGTGACCCATACTGAGAGCTGAAAATTGAAAAGGAGTCAGTCAGAGGACTATTTATGCAACTTAGACCAATTTATTCATCTGCTTCTCCATTGCTCTCTGATAAAATCTCTAATCCTTACCATGGCTTTTCAGATTTCAGGATATCTGTCCCTGTCAGCCTCTCCAGGCTTACTTCATACTACCCCTCACCGCTCCCATCCCCACACCACCCCCTCCTCTACCCTACTTCTTTCTGTTCCAAGATATCCCTAGTCTCTCCTCTGTCTTTTGCCTGAGCTCTCTCCTGTGTGTCAGGACCTTCTCACAAAACTATAAACTGCCTTAAAGCTTTAGCTTTGGAGCTCAGAGAATTTACTAGAACAAATTTCCAGTTTACTGGAACAAGTGAAATCCCATCACAAAGAAATTATCAGATTAATGAGAATGAGATTTTCTACAAGGTAACTAGGCCAGGTTTCCAAGTCAATATGTTTTAAAAAGTAGGCAAAATTATATTGGCCATCGAGACATAAAAACCAAATATAATATGAAATTTAAGAAAGAAAAAAGCAGCCACTGGCTGCTGTCAACTGAGCTGGCCTGACTAATATCCAGGTCAAGCTACCAGTTTTCCTATAAAACATAAAAAATGTCACAGAACACCAAAAATCAGGTCACTCTGTGACTATGAGGAGCGAAACATAAACAAAACCACTGTAATTATGTCCAAAAATGGACAAAAACAAGAACATTGTTCCAACCACAAGATGGCCATGCATCCATCTTTCCTGCTTTGCTCCATTATTTTTAGGAAAAAAAAATATGGTAACAAAAGGATTGCTCTTGTTTTTTTGAGAATGCCCATTCCAGAGCAAAACACCATATTCCTGGCACTGTTGTACCCAGGTTGTTGTGGATGAGCCCCCAAATATGAGATGTGCCTTGATATACCAAACCTGAAAAGCTGCATGCAAATAGCAGCAAGCAAGCAGGAGGTTTGAAGACACAGGCCAACTCCTGGGAGCAAAGTCCCCAGGGTCAAAGATCAGGCTAACTCCTGTCAGAGCTAGTGAGCCTGAGGAGATTTATACAGGGACAGATAATAGCACAGCTCCTGATAGGGAGGGGTCCTGAGTGGGTTGCCATTGGCGAAAACAATTTCAGGGTTTTTATAGTTATGCTCATATTTTGGATCTAGGGTATGAATCTTGGAGACTGTGCAGTTTCTTGGCTAATCAACCTTGGCCAATGTCTAGACATAGATGAACCGGAGACAGTGTCATGGGCTTTTCTCTTGTTATTGACTTTTCCCTCTTGCCATGTCTCTGGGGAGTCCCATGTCTCCCAGGGCCCCAATCCTATCTTTTTGTCAAGCTCTAGTCCCTCAATACCTTACCAAGAAGCCTTCTTATCCAACTTTATTCCAGGTGTGTTTCCAAGGAGTCTTTTGCTGAAGAGTGGCTACAACTTTGATTAGATCATGGTTTGAAAAAATGTGAAAGATAGTTGTAAGGACATTTGGGGGGAAAATTACTGGAATTTGAAGATAGTCTAATTTTAGGTGATATTTAGGGAATTGTGAATTTTTGTAGATATAGTAAGAGTACTGTGGTTATGTTGGAGAATACAGTTTTGGTGTGTGGTGATATATTTAGGGTTAAGATGTGTCTTCAATGTGCTTTGAAATGATTCAGCAAATTAAAAAATATATTCAGAAAGTCATTGTGCCCTTGCACCAAGGAAGAGCTGACACAGTTCTAATGACTGGAATGGAATAGAAATTGAGAGACTCCCCCTAGACACAGACCCGAGGAGTCTGAATCAGTTTTAGAGAAAGTCTTTATTAGCCAGCCAGCGACTGTCCCTCTTGGGGTGGGTGGTGGGGAGGGGGGGGGGCAGCCCCCAGCAGGGGGTGACAAGGGTTTTTTATTATTATTATTAATTTTTTACATCATTATTCATTTTAAACAATATTTGCTTTCCCCCACCCCCTCAGGTGTAGTCCCCATAGAATTTCCTTCCCCAAGGCACCCGTGCACCATCACCTCAGTCCCCTGTGCTCCTCCCTCCCTCTGATCCCTCTCCCTCCTCCTCCCCTGCAGGGTGTCTCTGATTTATAATTGTCTGTTTTTGCTTTGTTGTGTTTTGCACTGTTACTATTTTTTAACACTGATGTCTTATTTGATTTCCCTATATTCCTGCTATAAGTGAAACCATACAATATTTTTCTTTTTCCTTCCGAAATCGCATCCGGGAGTTTGCAGGTGCCAGAGCAAGTGGGAGTACAGAAGCCAATATGTGCTGCTATAAGCAGCAAAGCATTTCACCACATCCCAGGTTCCAAGTACAAAGGGTACACACATCTTATTTTTCTAACGGGAACCCAGCCTCTATTGTTTTGGACTGGAATTTTCCCTCAGTCCTAAATTGTCTTCCTAAGATGGCTCAAGCTTAGGCCTTGCATGGTCTGCTACATTTCACATTGCCCCCATTTCACAAAGTTTGTAGAGTTTTTCTCCGAAGGTTTTCTCTTCTGATCTGGGTCCCACACATCCATTCCACTTTGTCACGTACTTCATCCTCCTGTTAGGGGGAAAGGATGTCCTGAGCTAATCCCATACAGGCTTTGTGCACTCCACCCCCACTCCAGACCAAAGCTACCAAGACATTGGTAATGACAAATCCCATCACCAGCAAGGGAAGGTTGCTGGGACCTGAGGGTGGAGTTAAGCAGCCAGGTTTGGTATAAAAACCAGACACGTGGGCCTTGGGGTCTGGCTCTCACCTCTCGGCTTCACGGCTCGTGGCTCACCGCCAGCTCTCAGAGTGCCACTTGGGATTCCAGATCGGCCGAACGGGTAGGACGCATTTAAGACTTTATCTCCCTGAGTTGTACATTTCCTCATTTCCCCTTCCCTTGTGAATAAATCTTTTATTAACCTATTGTGTGTGCCTGCAGTGGAGTATTAAGTCCCTTTCAAGCATGCGAGTGAGGACCCACAGTCAGGCAATCCGTTTTACATTGGGGCTGCCCTGTAACACTCCCAGGAAAGCAGGTTTCAAACTTGGAGATACAGGAGTTCCTTTGTGACCTGGACATGCAAAGGATTATGGAAAACAAGAGACTGGTCCTTGATGACATCCTTGAGCAGCTGCTCCAACTTAGAGGTGCTAGAAACACATACAGACAATGAAATAAGAAACAAACTCATTTGTAACAACACCAAGAGTCACCAAATATTTCAGAAATAATGCCACCTGAAATATAAAATCTCTACACTGAAAACAAGAGAACATTACTGGGGCCTCCCTGGTGGTGCAAGAGGTTAAGCACAGGACTATGAAGCAATCTGCAGCCTCTGCAGTACTAGTTTGATCCCGGCCAGGGAGCTACCCACATGGCTCAGCAAGCCATTCCTGTCTCACCAACTGCTCCCCACAGTAGTGTATTTCAGTCAGTCTGCCATTCTCTTCTCTCCCCGGACTCTATCTCACAAGTCAGAGAGACCCAGATTTCCATGTGAACACATCTAGCTTCAAGGATCACACCCGAGCTTCATCTATGGCCCTGTAGTTAGCCATTCCAGGCTAGCTGGACAAAGACAAGAAGCCTGTATAATTCCTTATGTGGATACCAAGCCCTTCGCACAGGGAAGTAGGATGTCCTAGATGTCTGGAGTGTGATCTAAAAGAGAGAAGGGGACGTGGGCCTCAGGTGGGTCTGTTTTAATCCCACAGAAACATCTTTCCAATAGGGAAGGCTGCTGCATATGAGGGCCAGGGCCTCTTAGCTACAGTGAGGCCTCTCTTGCTCATGTTTAAGGAGGCACTGGTTTTATCATTTTCTATTCTCATCAAAAGTGCCT